AATTGTTTATCCATTGTGTGGTGTTCACAAGTAAATCTCCCAGGAGGACCGGAGAAACTCTTAATAAAGTTCAGCTCTGTGTTCACGTCCCTCTACCTTCACATGTCACACTGCTGCTCATAACAGGTTACATCCTTGCAGAGATAAGTGCATTGAAGTACTGTAACCTACTTTCTTGACTGAAACCTTCGATTAGGTTGCCCCTGGTTAGCAGTGATGCAATGTGCAGTGCGGGTTTTATTGTAAAAGGAGTGAAGATAATTTGCCCTCAATGTGTTCTCAAGATGGCAGCAATGAAATGTTTACTGTCTTGGTTCAGAAGACACTGTGTTATTATTTTTATTACCCTTATAAGTAGTGCTGCGTACCGGTACGCCGAACCGGTACTGGACTTGTACAAAGTTTCGGTTAAAACCGGAACGTCGGGAACCGGTACTTGGACTCGCAAAAAAATTAGCACTTACGTATATTCTGGTGTCTGTGGTTATTTAAACATTCCCTGATAAACGTTATTCAGCGTCAATAAATGAGTGCTAATCCCAGTGTGCTCAGTGTACAACATCACATGTCATTTCATCTTCGATTCACGGGTTGAAAACGTAGCATTTCGCCACATGCTAATGCTAACCGGAAGTGAATAATTTTCAGAATAAAAGTATTAAGTTAATAGTGTGAACTTCCCGTTTTTTCAGAATAAAACTGATTTAAATTAAATAGTGTATTTAATTCAAAATTACGCCATATCAACATTGATTTTAATTTTTAACAGTATGTATGTATATCACTATGTATGTAGTATGTTGTAGTGCCGTGAAAAGAGAGTCGGAGACGGTGTATTAAGAATGGAGTTCCAATCTTTATTATCCATTACTTTCAGAGAGGTTAACACATGCACTGCTCTGCCTGATGAGCTAGCAGGAATGGCAGCTAAAGCTACAGGTGTTCCCCACTAAAGGGTCCGTGTGGCAACACAATAAGCAAGGTGAATTATGTCCAATAACGTGTCACCACAATGTACTGTATAATGTACACATGTAGAGTTGTAGAAAATACATGGTGTACAGACAGTACAGTACACTCTGACTGTACAGTCACTACAGTGTAGCCTATACTGTATAGTAGGTGTGTAACAGTGTAATGCGTATAGTCTACTCTACATTCTACCTTTCAGCAACGTTTTAGGGATTTAGGCTCAGTCAGCTCAGGGACTGTTTGGTTACTTTAGTTTGGTAAATGAAATAAATGTTTGAACTTTGTAGTAGTTCACTGTAGTTGCTGTCATACGTCATTTGTAGACTAACTACATTTGTACTTTGTAGAGAAATGTAGACACAAGTTGGAAGGGAGCACAATAAACCTGATGAGTTTGAATTTGAGTGGATTATGAGTTAATTTTCAATTGATAATTAGCTCACAATAAGTTCACTTTACTCACACAACTTGACACAAGCCATGGGTTCAGGTCCGGACTTATAAGTCCGGACCTGAACCTGAACCTCTGGACTTGAGTCCGGACCTGAACCTGAATGTGAGTCCAGGTACGCAGCACTACTTATAAGTATAGGTCATAACATATCTGCTGATGAGAATGAGGTCTTTTGAAGGTCAGGGAGCACTCCTCCAGACCTTCTATGACTCTGTGGTGGCATCAGCCATCTTTTATGGAGTGGTCTGCAGGCGAGATGCTGACAGGAAGTGACTCGACTCTGGTTAAGAAGGCCAACTCTGTCCTGGGGAGCCCTCTGGACACTGTGGAGATGGTGGTAGACAGGAGAATGGCAGCCATGCTTTCTTCCCTGTTGGACGACATTTCCCACCCCTACAGGCTATTGTGTCCGCACTATGCAGCTCCTTCAGAGACAGGCTGCTTCGCCCGCAGAGCCTCACAGAGAGGGGATTGGATTGTACAACCACCACGGACCCTGGCCTGGCAGACCACCACATGCTATACAGTCAGGAACATACCTATTGTGCAATATCATTATGTTCAATATACTATATCTTCTTGCAATTCGTTTACAATTAGTTGTTATTGGCCGCTTCAATACTATTCTAGTTCACTTTTTGAACTACTGCAAGTTTCACTTATTAGTTTATTTTGTATTATCATCTATACAAAATTGGGTATTGTAATATTTTTAAAGGCAATATATTGCGATAACTTTATTATCTGTATGTCATGCAACTTGTCTTCGTGAGTAAAAGGTATTAACCTCTAATCATAACTACTGAAACAGCTTTTCAATTAAATGATTGTGTTTTTTTCCGATCATTGTTTATTTGATTTATAATAAATAGGTTAATTGTGAAAGCACAGTACTGCACATCTGTGTTCTGCTTTCAGAGACAACATTTTGCCATAAAAATGTCATTACAAGCATATTTAACAATTTCCTTAAAATATCTGCAGGATCTGGTCCGTCAGTTAGGTGACAGTGATGTATCAGCAGTTAAAAAGACAAATCCTTTAGCAGAGACATTGTGTTCATCCTTTACACTGTGCAGGGGCGGATCTAGACAAATATTCATGGGGTGGCAGGAGAATTTCAGGGGTGGCGTCCCCTGGCAGAAGTATATGCTGATTTAATCACAGTCATATCAACAATGTTAACTTGGAAAGCCACAATATTGATATTTTAACTCAATAACATTTGTTTACATTATTGTGGCACATCAGTAAAGCCTTACATATAAATATATATGGTGGCAGACATCATTTAATGAATTTTAACTGAACAATAACTGAATGAGTTTGTTTCACTCTTAGACCAGCAGGGGTACCAAATCTATGCAGACTGCTGCAATAAGTACATTAATTAACTGTCTCGTCGATGTTTGTCTGTATGAATATGATACTATTAACAATCATATTATTCCTATCAGCTGTCAATCACTGTTATGATTCACATATTCAGTGTTATTATTAAATAAACTATATTTTTTGGAGGAGTTAATGATGAATGTTCCTCAAGATGCTTGCTCACCCTCCTTCAAATTTGAAAGACAAGTAATTACTATCATATATCAAAAGAATCAAAAGAACAGTTCAGCGCCCCACAACTTCACTGCAAACAGTTACAACCTTGACTTTACATCAGAAAGAACAAACATTAAAGAAGTGACTAACTGCATCAGTTAGGGTTAAAAAAACGTGTATTCAGCTAAAACATAAACATCGCTGCAGTTATTATCCAGTGGAGAGTCCTTACCCACTGGCCTAGTTAAATCAAAGTGGTTACTTTTTTTTGGCTGCAGTGTAGTTTTACACACTGTCTTATTTGACTTTCTCAGGACTTGAAACTGTTTTTGGGGGCAGAACCCCACAAAGAAGAAAAATATATTTACACGTAAGGTCATCATCTTAACAGTTTATTATTCTCATCGACTCATCCGTGAGCAGAGCACCAAGTTGGCATGCCTATAACAGCTGAATGTGGCGATTACCATCTTGATCAGCAAAACGCCTCACTTATTAAGATTTAAAGCTATGGTGCGTTTTGATTCAATGCTGAGTACAGCCAAACTTGACAGGCTCTTCTCTGTCATTGTAGACCGCAAACAGTGGCGGCGCCAGAGTATTTGGGTTGGGTAATCTATGGTAGGGCTAACCCATACAGTGGTGGAGCTCAAGTCAGTATTTGCAATGTAATTACATACACGCTCCCCTTGACAGTGAAACGCCACGCGTGAGGTTTAGATTATTTCCCTGTCTCAATCCAAATTGAACTGTATGAAATAAAAAGGCACATTTGTCATGTAGTAGATAAAAAGGGCGACCTGGAGCCAATCCTGCAATTTACCCACAAGTGAAAGAGTTGACATGCTGAAAACCCAACCCCTGCACGGGGGTCTGGGGGGATTTTCTCCCAGGAGATTTTTTGAAATACTAACATAAAATACACATTCTGGTACTCTCTTGAGAAGAAAAATAAATAAATCTATTACTACACGACATATTTAAAAAAAAAATGAATGCCATTTTAGTTTTTTGTTACTTTGTTCTGAAAGCTGAACCTGCTGCTCCTCACAGAGAGAAGAGGGAAGAGGCTGTGTGAATTACAATGAATTTACAACACACAAAAAGATGTTTACTGAAAAGACTTGAACACAAGATGTTTGAACACAAAAAGATGTTTACTGAAAAGATTAAATGATACTGAATAATACATGGTTTCTTATTTACAACACTACAGCTCCATGACTTTACTCCAATGGGACGACAGACACTGACAGATTAGACAAGGCACAGCAAATAACCCAAATATTGTCAATTAATGCTAGTGCCTCACCTGGTTTTGTTAGCATGTGCTCTATGGGCACAGCCCTGCTTTGCAGAATCTGATATTTTCTTCTGACTAATCCTATGACTCTTTCGACATGAATACGCACATTAGCTATTTTTCTTGTCTCTTCCACCTCGTATGCTGACAGCTGACTTTTCCCCCTGGTGAATGCAGGCATCTTTAGTGAAGCACAGTAAAATCCCACACTATCGCCAATATCGAACCCACGGTCTGCTAGGACAATATCTCCAGGTAACAGGTTTTTTAGGAGCCCACTCTGTATTGTGATCTGTTTATCACTAACACTTCCTCCCCAGGCACAAGATATGTAAGTGACATAGCCTTGGGGAGCAACACCAATCAGAAATTTAACAGTATGGTGATGCTTGTAGTTGGACCATGTTTGTGCTCTAGCTAGTAAATTAGAGGGCCTCTCAATAAAAACTTCAAAACAGTCAACAATCACAGCAACTCTACATCCAAATGCCTGTCTGAATCCCATTGGCATTGTAGCTTGAAGTACATGTCGCTCTGGCCACTCAATTATAAATTCTGTACTCTCATGAAGTATGTCAATTAACTTATGCCAAATTCTAGAAGCAGTGGAGAGAGAGATGTTGAACCTGAAAGCCAAATCTTTCAGAGGGAGATTTAGTCTCAGCCTCAGCAAAACTAAAATGAACTGTTCAAATTTGGAGAGCACACACATAGGGCCACAGGTGATGTAGGGCTCGCACAGTTGAAAAACCTGAAGTAAAACTAAGAAGTTGGGGAGCCCGGTGTAAAACTTTGTCTTCTCTTCGTTGTTCTCAAAGGACTCCTGGTTGAACTTTGTGTCCAGTGCCTTTGTCCGAAGATCTCCCAGCTCTGTTGTGTTCTGTCTCAGAACATCCTCCATCCTCTCGATGTCCTCCATCGTTAAATCAGTCTGGCATCCTGCATCTGCATACAATATAGCAGTAGCAAGCATAATTAGTTATTTAAAATAGTCAAATATGAATGTGAATTGTTGTGAAGTTATCTTTTTGACAACCTTTTTACAAGTTCTCTGTTCCAATTATTGCAGATTCTCAAGTTAGTACTCTATTTTCTAAACCTAAACCTTTGTAATATTTAATAATAATGCTGGTGGTTAATTTACCTTGTTGGTCATTTCATATCCCACTGGTGTCCTCTGGTTGTGGGCTGTCAGACGGGGGCTGCGTCGGTTCTGGGCTCTCGGTTGTCTGCAGGAGATCCAACAAAGCCTCTGCACATTCTGATTGTCTTTGTTGGTCTTCCTTGAGCTCCATCCTCTGCTCTCGTCGAAGAGATGCCTCTGATCTGGGCTTACTTGTTGTGTGGTAACCGAGGCTAACAGTGGGAGCCCAGTCTACCGACTCAACGTCACCCAAAGCGCTAGGGCACCCTAAAAAGTCCCAACAAATCAGTATTACTAAGTAAATAAGCATTTAACCACAACCCAATAATACATAAACAAACCCACAAAAACCAAGTTAGCTAATACCTCTGATGAAGTGGTCGCTGCAGACACGTGCATTAGACGACTCTGCTCCTCCCGACCGCAGATGTAGATGTAGATGTCATTTGTAGAAAGCCATTTTTTCCGGCGTTCTTCGGTTAGCTTCTTAAATTGCTCAGGACGACAACCTTCGGCACTCGGTAAAACCTCTTGTTTTTGTCTCGACCGGATCGATTGGAACAACCGTAAACTACACAACACACCGGCATTTTCACAATGGTAACAGTAGCTAGATCCTCTGTAGAAAATTACTTCCTGACCTCCAATGGAATTTCGCGCCAAAGGAACGCAGCGGTGTGACGTCAAGTGAAACCAAGCTATTATTCTCCGTCGGGACTTCCTGCAACAACACCACGCCGTTATCTTGATTCTGATTGGCCAGAAGACATTATCAAAGATGTTCTATTGAGAAGAAGATCACTACGTGACAAAAGTTTTCAAAACCGTCTCTAGTCTTCGGTATTTCCAGGCAAGTGGCTACTGAAATCAATCTTACTAGCTGCTGTCTGTGCAATTTACTCCGCGCGAGTTGGCGGACTTTATTTTGCTTACTTTAACATCATTTTTCATGGTGGGGCTAAGGTGGGGCTAAGCCATTTCCACGCTCGCGCCAGGGCCGGGGGAGGGGTTACAAGGCTTGCGTCTTGTGCTGCATTCACTTGCACTCGGACATTAGAGATTTTTCTCATAAATGTCCGATGAGCCACAACTTTTCTTTCAAAAACAAATCTGCCAAATGGGGTGGCAGCTGGGGTGGCAAGGCCTTTTTCTGAGGTGGCAGCTGCCACCCCGTGCCACCCCGTAGAAACGCCACTGACACTGTGCTGGATTTAATATCTTCTCTCATTGTGTTCTGTAGGCTTTCAACTTGGGCTGCAACGTACCATTGTTGTTTTTTATTAGATCATTAATACTGTTTATTGAGTCGAAGAAAACGTTGTGAAATATATTTTCCTAGACTTTAAAATAGTTTGTCTGAGCAAACACACACATATTACCTATATAAAAGTTGTGGTGGCTTTTTTTGTTAAATTAACTAAACATTTTTAATTGACTCGCGGTTTGGCAGTACTACACTAATAGTTTCCTCTGTACTTTAACCTTCAAAGTAACATCAGTGTCTTCTGATTCCTGCACTGCTTTAATCTTTAGACCTCTATTTCTTTCTATACAACCATACCACTTAATATCTGTATCCATTAAGACCAGTTATTGACTTCTAAGCCAACGAAGCGCAGCAGTGACCCTGCTGAGTCTTTGTTTCTGGCCCATGGGACATGAGGTAATGGAGCTGCACCGTCCTTTATGGAAGCCCTGCAGAGCCCCCAGCTGATCTCTTTATTTAGTCTCTGCCTGTCGGAGTTGAGTAAGAGAGATCCAAAATTAAATTGTGTAGGAAGCATGTGTTTGCATATTTGCTTTTGTATCCCAATTTTAATCAATCAATCAATCAATGTTTATTTATATAGCCCAATATCACAAATGCTACATTTGTCTCAGTGGACTTCACAGTTTGTACAAAATATCACTATATCATGACAATAATTTGGTTTTTGTTTGGCATCTTTCCTAAACACCCGGATGTATCTGTTACGACAGTTCCGTCTATAGCTTTAACTGTGTGTGTGTGTGTGTGTGTGTGTGTGTGTGTGTGTGTGTGTGTGTGTGTGTGTGTGTGTGTGTGTGTGTGTGTGTGTGTGTGTGTGTGTGTGTGTGTGTGTGTGTGTGTGTGTGTGTGTGTGTGTGTGTGTGTGTGTGTGTGTGTGTGTGTGTGTGTGTGTGTGTGTGTGTGGCATTACTATACTTGTGGGGACCTAAATCTGTTTACACAGTCACTTGTGGGGACTCGCCTCCCTTATGGGGACAAATTGGAGGTCCCCATGAGGGGAGTCATTCATTTTAGGGTGAAGACTTGGTTAGGTTTAGGATTAGGGTTAGGGTAAGGTTAAGGGTTAGGGTTAGGCATGTGTTGGTTATGGTTAAGGTTAGGATAAGTCTCCAGGAAATGCATGTAAGTCAATGTAATGTCCCCTGAAGTGATGTATACATGGTGTGTGTGTGTGTGTGTGTGTGTGTGTGTGTGTGTGTGTGTGTGTGTGTGTGTGTGTGTGTGTGTGTGTGTGTGTGTGTGTGTGTGTGTGTGTGTGTGTGTGTGTGTGTGTGTGTGTGTGTGTGTGTGTCAGGAGAAAGGCTACTAGCTATGCAAATTAGCAGGTAATTCCACCTGTTATTCATTTGCATATGTTTAGGGAAACTAGCACAAAAGTTCCTGCTGGTTTAACATGTTCTTACATGTTACATGGGTGAGGCAAGGATTGGCTAAATGTGTTGTTTTATATGAACATATCTGTATATCAAATAGCTGATTTCATTAGAAACCTTAATGTGTCAAAGGCACTATAGCATGTAATGGCTGAGTTTAAAAAACCAAAACACCACTGTTAGTAGAATACATAAAATAAATGTTCAAGTCCTATCAAATTCAAAACTTAAAACCTTTTTGCTAACCCACTAAGGTGTACATAAATGTTTCTGCTGAAGACAGAAAAAGTGAATGGAGACCAAACTGATCTAAATGCGTATACAAACACATCTCCAAATGAATGCTAATGTTTCCCTGTGGCTGCTGTTTGTCTCAACAGGCAATGATTTGCCAACTGATAACACCTTAGTAAGCCAGTGATATGTGGTGGCTGTGTATCAGTCAGCTCCTTTAGATTTATTTTCTCCTCACTACCGGCTAAGACGTGATCGATTTATCTTTAATAGGGTAGCTCAGTCGATACACAACAGGTGTAAATGACTAGAAAGACCCGAGCAGGTGCTTACTCCACGCTGGTGGGCGAAGACAAGGAGCTTCATCCAAGAGTGCTGATGATTAGTTTGTTGATGTGTGGTGATGCAGGTGTCCATGTGAATAATGACGCTGTCAATGCTACTATAATTGGTCAAGATGTTACAGAGCTTAGAGTCAATGCAAAAAACCTGGCCTTCAGGAAAACAGTGAACATGGGATGTGCATGAGTGGTGCTTGTTATTTTTTAATTATACTAGCCTAACCAGCATCTTCTCATCAAAACTGAGTGCAACATATACTGTGTAGAACATGGAAAGTGAAAAGAAACTGCAGAAATAAACTATTGAAAATGAATAATGTTGACTTTTGGCAATGGTTTCCTCGTTTCCAGTATTTCTTGCATATTGCACCTAAAATTCACAAAATCACATGATTTGCCAGCGTGCACCTCCATGTTAATCCATCAATTAGGAAGCCAGAGAGTGGGAGAGTGCAAGAGATGGAGAAAAACACCAGAGACAGAGGGTGAAGCTGAAGATCAATGTGTTTTGCCTGAACAGCATGTTTGAGCGTGGGAAGTTCAGAAAAACTTCTCCTGGGCCTCACAGTTCTAAACCATTTTGTGTGTGTGTGTGGTGTGTAAATGAGTGTGTGTGGATGTGCGCGCCAGGCATTTGTCAGTCTTATCGGCTCTCTGTGGTGGTGCTGGTGCTGGTGCTGGTGCAGAGTAATTGAGTGCTTAGAGTTATAGATGAACTAATTAGTGGGCGCATTGAAAGCTCAGCTCATTAGTGGGAGAGAGTGAGGCCTACGCTGCCGTGACTCTGAGGGCTTTCTTTCAGATCCAGCCTCTGCATGGGGAGAATCCATGAAACTTGTTGTGCACCGTCAAAAGTGCTAGTCAATCATGTTTCATGTTTATTTTGTATTGTTTTTCACTTCCTGTTTTGTTTTTGTCACGTCTCATTTCAGGTCCCTTGACTCCCTTTCCTCATGTGTTCTCCCGCCCTCATCAGTATCAGCCCCGCCCCTGATTGTGTTCACCTGTGTCTTGTTGTTGAGTGTTTAAATTCCCCAGTCTCCCAGCGTTCAGTGTCAGTTCGTCTTGTCCTGTCCTCATGACAGAGCTATGCTCTTCAGCTCGTTTTGATTCAAAGCCTATGTTGGCTCCTGAAACTTATTATAAGTTTAGTTCCTCACGTTGTGAGTGATTTTCTGTTTTGCCTTGCTCAAACCTTTTTTGTCATCTCTTAAGAGTGATCTTCTTTTGTTACCTTTTTTGTGCAAATAAAGTATCTTAATTGTACTTTACCTTTGGCTCCCGGGTCGTGCATTTGAGTCCTTATCCTTGCGTAACCAAGTTCATAACAAAACTTCATTAAAGCAGCTGCAGGGAGGAGAGGACAAGGAAGAGGGATAGAGAAATATTGTACTATACATGTTTAAACAAACGTATGGTGCATATAGACGGTCAGGCACTCAGGGCACATACTTTATATACTCAATACAAACTGACACACTAAAGTGAATGCACAAAATATTGATATTTAAAGTTGAAACCACTTTCAAAACAAATGCCCGAGTTTGTAAAGTTAGCACTGAGGTCAAACACATTATTTAAAGCAACAGCCCATCCTCAAAAGCAGGATGCTAGGCCTACATCAAATTATAAACGTTTTCTGTTTTATTTATTGAATCATTTATTTCATTAATAAACCGTGAACAATCACAATTTCACGAAGTCCAACCTTATATATTGAATAGGGCTGTTAATAATAAGTTAACTGTTAACTGACAATAAGGATTTTTGCCCAATGCCATCAGGTAAACAGTAAACAATAATAATTGAGCAGAACTTAGGTGTTAACAGAAACTACCAAGAGGTCATATTCATATTGGCAGATCCACCAACAGTGTTGTTCTTCTTTTTGATGGACAGTCCACCAGCACATCGGGAGGCCTTACTTCGTATCAGGCAACATGAGCCTCACAGCATCCCTTTGCTCGACAAGTTGTTTTTTCTGTCTTTTTCATTGATTTAGTGGAGTGGCTTTTTTTTCAGCGTCAGAAAATTGACTCTTTTAGACAAGGCTGAAGATTTGACCTTCCCTATATTGACAAGATATCTAGTACAGACCTCAATGATGGAAATGAATTGATTAAGACCACTTTCTTCTTTGTTCATTACCACGGAAACTAAGAGTAGAGGGCTG